CAGCCCCTGGACACAATGGGCTGCGAGTTTCCTGAGCAGGATGCAAAAACAGATGCAGGAGTTGCTTAAAAATAACTGGGATTTCTGATTTACCARGAGTACAGCCATCCTAGCTCAAGGAACTGATGGTTTAAGGGATTTAAAGATCCCAGCAAACTATCCAATTGTTCTGGCAAAGTGTCAGAGGAATCACCAAACGTGGATTGCCATCAATTGATTTATTTTTTTTATATTGTTCTATTTAAAGGCAGAAGTGCCTTTTAATGCAACATAGAGCCCAATAAGTTACTCTAATCCAAAATAAAGCATTCTAGCTGGTACCAATTGGAATGACATGCTAAATCTGACTTCTTTATTGGCAATAAAKCTTGCATTCATGGCCTGCCAAGGATGAGAAAGTTTTCAGTTCTTTTGCAGCATCTGCCATACTGTGAGGCCCTGGGCTCAGAGTGGCAAAAGAAACCCAAATTCAACAATTGAATTCAACAATTCAACCCAAACCAGAAGAAAAAAGCGAAGATTTGTCCTACTGAGAGGTGAAATTTGCAGCATTTGTGATCCTGGCTCAGTTTTCAATCAGACACAGATTTCAGTGTGATTTTTGCAATTTACCTAAAACCCACACTATTTTCTACACTGAACTATTGAAACAGTGAAGCTGTGAGAGAGCACACAGGGCATCCCAATAACCTCAGCTCTCAAAGCCAAGGGGAAAATGGAACAGGGGGAATTAGGGGAAAGATAAATATGGTTCAAGAGCTTCTCAGTTTTAGCCTCTCCTATTCAAGTTTCTAGAGATCTTCCAGGCATCCTTTTAAAAACTTCCCATCCCTTTGTAATGGCTGAAAATAGTGGCCCATAAAAAGGTATAATTGAGTCTGGCAATCTGTGCTTTAGCAGCTACACATTCACTTAAATCTCAAAAACAGCCTATTATAACTATAACTCAAAGATTATATTGGTTTCACTCTCAAAATATTTTGAAGACTGGATTGTAAAGTATCTCTGCTTCACTAGAAAAYGACCAAAAGTTTGCAACTTCTCTTTTAAAATTCTGCTTTAATATTCAAAAAGGAGCAGTAATTAAAGAGCAAATAGGTCGTGCTGCCACTTCCCTGCCCAGCTCTTCCCTCACCACTAATAGGATTCATGTCTTAATCCACCTTGAAACAAACAGCCTCAGAAACACAAACCCCATCAGGCAGCCCAAGTGTGCACAAATGAGAGCTCTTAGGAGAAGTTCCTCTTACTTCACAGAATCATGCATCGTCTTACAGATGTGCAGCAGAGCATTGAGAATAACTGGATCCTTGGTCGACTCCTGCTGATGCCTAGAATGGTKTTTAGAAAAAGCAGTGAAAAATCCTGCTCTGTCAAAATGGAAAACAATGACTAGAGTAACATCCATTTAATGCATAATYCCAACCACCAGCACTGTATGACACTGCACAAGTTTTAAATTCATCTGTGAACCAATGGAACACCCGAGATCACATGGGTAATAGATGCACAATTCCCACAAATGCCAGTCAAGAAACATTATCCTAATGCACACATCTGAACTGCCAAGCCAGAATCAGCTCCTGAAGGGACACAGTAAGCTAGACAGGAGCCACTGAGGCAAGCTAAGGACATCCAAATCAAACAATCCTGGATTTAGCAAGATATAATATCATTTCTCAGCTGCTTAGGGRCAGCCAGGAAGGATCAGTGTCAGTTCAGGCACAGAGGCACATGTGCACTGCAGCTCCACTAAGATGATTAAGGGGCCACAGCATCTCCCCTGAGCAAACCCCAGAGAGCCTCAGGGGAGAGAAGCTCAGGGGCTCAGCAGAGAATAGAAATACCTGAAGGCAAGATGGAAATGAGAAATGTTTCAAGAAGCCTGTTAACTATTTGAAAAGAAGAGGACTACTTGACTTTCAGAACAATTTAGTTGAATATATTTTCATTTTCAAAGTTAATTCTCAACTGTAGCAATACTCCATTCTGCACTGCCACAGCAACTGGAATGTGAAATAAAYCTCATAAACCAACAAATGCAATACAAAAAAAACCTCAGAGAGCAACTATTCTGTTTACTGACAGCAAGTCAGCATCAATATAGTTACTTCAACTCATCTTTCTTTGTGAACAAACAGTTCATAGATTTAGATTACTAAAATTAACACATTTTATCTTTTCCATAGCCTGGAACCTTCACAAACTAAATAACCCAATATACTGACTCCTCTTCCCAAGCCATCTTTCAATAAGTTTCTCAGAGCCTCCAGAGAGCATTTCACCTCAACAGTCTCCACTTACTTAATAAAAGATTCCATGATGCACTTGCAAACCTCCACTCTCACACTTTCCTTCTGAAACATATCCAGAAATGGCAAGAACTTCTCCTGSAAGTACAAATACATAAACAAGTAAAATTAGGAATATTACACACAACACATTAAAGCAACAAATATTTTGGGTAAGTTTTATAAGCACCACCAGTTTTATAAGCTATTTAGGTAAAATTATTTTYATCTTTTTTGAAAACAGTAATTCATCTGAAAGGATGAGAAAGTGGAATGAATGGAAAAGGACTGATGGCTGAAAGATGTATCAATTTATTGACTGCAGAGATCCAGAAGAGAACACACACTACAGAACTGTTGGAATTAAATGTTGCACTTTTTAATTTGAAGCAATCATATGCTTCAAACAGCTTAAGATCATGGCAAATTCAGACATGCATGGAAAAAGAAARGTAAGATAATAAAAACAATTAAAACAGTCCACACATCAGCAACAATTTTGCATTTATCCAGGGCAAGTTATGAAGGTCTGAGAAATTCAAATATCCTTCAAAGAYAAGGGTTTAGGTTGTTAAGATATCACAATACTTAGTTGCTGTATCACGTCAAGAATAAAGTGAAGTTTTGCAGAATTATCCAAGCAGTTTGTGAACAAGATGTGACTCCAAATCCACATATCAGTCTTGAATTTTACTCTTCAAATGGTTTCTGTACTTTGACACACAGAGTTTCTATTTTCCTACCTCAGGTACAGTCTCTGACTCTCTGAGTTCCACTTTGTTTCAATGCCAAATTAGGCACCATGAGAAGGGATGTTAAATATGTATCATAACACAGAAACAGCTATCAGCAATTGCATTAATACACACACAAATAAATGGWATTTCATCTGGCACTGATTGTCACTTATGCCATAGTAACAAACAAACTTGGAGAATTTAACAGCCTAATGAAATAGAAGCACAGAAAATTAGAACTGGAATAAGAAGTACTGAAGTAGTAAAGCAGCCGAATGCTCCCAAAATATTTCTGCACTTAGCTACTTGATAAAAAAGTCCTTACATTCTGTGAACTTGTGAACAATCCAAATATCCCAGTCACGTAAATTCTCTTGCAGAAATGGTGCCAAACAGTTCTTCTTAAAAATTTATTAAGCATGTATCACTTACCACTGAAAAAAGCAGAGCGAAGTCATAGATATAGGTAATAACTTTCTGAATAATGGACTGCAGCTAGAGAGGAGAAAAAGGAAAAGTTTTAAAAAAKGGGGAAATTATTGTAGAATGAGTTAAATWAAGACTATCCACACCAGAGATTATTCTTCTCTGTGTGGGCAGTGTTTAATAATAATTATTTTGTTAAAAGAGCTAGCAGTAATGTTTAAGAATTAATTCCATTTAAGAAAGTGCACATCAGATTTTTACAGATTTGGCGAAATCAATTCTTTACCTGTGGGTAAGCATCTTCAAATGCTCGATCAGGAGTCATGTGTTTGATAACATCAGCCAGAACTGTATTGACCTCTCGCTTCTGTGCAGCAAAAAMCAAGGGTTCAAATACAAGGGTGAAAATGGCACATAAATCAAGTCTCTSAACACCAGCTGAGTAGGATAATTTATTTATTTCCACTTGCCAAAGCATCAGCTCTTTAGGGAGCTCTAGTTAAGCCAGGAACTTTAGCCATAGCTCAGTAAATCCTTACTTTAACTGGTCCCTCCGCCAATAAAACCAAAGMAATGTTCAGTGCTGTAGGGTGGTAAAGCTGCAAAGCTGCATCTTTTGTCCCTACTCACCTTTCATGAAAGGAAACACCMTTTTTAATTCCTACACAATTATACTGAATGGCCAAAGCCTTTCCATCTTTAACACCAAACTGCTAATAGAGCCACTTAAGTCTCTATCAGAAAAATTCTACAGAAACAAAGTAATTTTCACCCACCGTAAAATGTCTGCACGTGTACTCCACCCACACTTCAGCACAGTTGATATAATCCTAAAAATGCACATGGTTTATGATTACCACTATTTGCAGAAGATTGTGAGAAATATACTTGTAAAAATTACACTTAAAAGAATTAATCCTGAGGTATGATTCATGCAGATCTAAAGATCTGGAACTGAAAAGTAGCCTTTGTGTAATAATGCTAAATTAAATTAAGTCATGCTGCAGCAGAGCTAAGAAAAGCAGAGATCATATAAAGATATTACATTTTTTTGCAGCTTACAAAAGGTAAACAATGCCATGCTAAGCATATGCTTACTGAATAACTGGCTACAATTCTGCCCTGAACAGACTCAGCAGTGAAACAGAACAGACCARAACTCACCTGTGGATTCTTCAGCTTCGTTATAACCTTCCAGGCCTCATTTAATATTTGCAGGCGATCATTTTCAGGAGGATCAGCCAATGCCAAGTTTAATCCCAGCGAGCGAAAGAGGAGATGCTGAAAGTTAATGAGAAATTTTAAATTAAAAGCAGATGATGCATGTCCATCTAACACTGGTCTAGCAGGCACCCTGTGCAGAAAGATTTTCAGTTCAAACCATGAATMATTTTATTCAAGTTATATGCAAGTTATGTAGGCAATTAATAGCACAAAGAACAGGAATAGTTAAATTACATCCAAGAAGTTACCTTTGGGAATCCAGACTCATCACACTCTTTAATCATGGCAATGAAGTCCATTGATCTSGCAGCAATAAAATCTGCTCTGAACGCCGACATAATTGAATTCAACAGCAAAGCACTGCAGTGAACACAACACAGATCAATGCAGCTCAACATCAACTCAAATTTGGCTGTCCCTGCATTTACATTAATCTGAACTTCTTAGAGTAAGAGCTGTCCAGCAGTTATCATAAATTTTTAAAAAAGGAAGAGAGTAAGGAATAAAAGACCCTCASACAAATCAAGCTTGCTTTGATGAGGATTAATATTGCATAAGCAAAACAAGAAAACRTTAAGCACCAGATAAGGAAAAGGTAACCCAGCCTGTAGAATMCTTCTTCCACACAGGTGTTTTTGGAGCTGTCATTTTAGCAGGAATTTACTAAAATCAGGCAAACCAGGAGCAGCTGACATTTAGAAACTTACTCTCTATTTAATTGCAGTTCAGAAGAATAATTAGAGAGGGCAAATCCCGGTTGAATTTTTCTTAATTAATTACATATGTATTATAAAAGCCACATTTCTAGCAGCTGCCTTGTTASGATTAAAATAAATCCCAACAGTCACGATCAGGTGCTAACTGGCAATGACCTATTCACGCATTTATGATGAACCATGAGATCCATATCTGTTTCTATCAAGCCAAAGCCACAATGGCAGAGTGAACTGTGTCACTGTGACACCCAGTTCACGTTCACTCAGCCATGACTTAGCTCAAGCAGCTGCTTCCTACAACACCGTGCCCTTCACTGGTCTGAGCAGTTTGAACACAGGACACTTTAGCTTGAGGGAAGTTCTACCGAGCACTTAAAACAGCCCAGCAGCTTCTGTGTTTCTGCCTGAGCTTTTGTAGTCCCCATCACAACCAGAGTGGAATTTGCACTGGATCATTAGACAAGCACTTCCAGCTCACTAGGTCTGTGCTGTGCAATACAGCAGGCGGTCACTYCTCACTTAGAACTCAGAAAATAAGTTCCACAAAACAAACCAACACCTAAGCAAAACCCTTTGTACATCAGAGGATGTGAATCATTTTTAACTGGACTATACACTGATACAATACCATTTTCACAGCACMTTTTTTACATCACGCTTTCCCCACACTCCTTGGCTCAGTCACAGAATACTGGCATTCCTCAGCTAAGTGATTCACATATTTTAGTTCCTCAGCTGCTGCAGAACTGGACTGTGCAAAGCACATCAGAAAAAAGGTAGCTGAAAACTTTCACAGAACTCAGCCAACTACCCAGTAAAATGAGCAGAGAGGAGCCCATCAGCAGGCCAAAGTGCATTCACAAAACCCAGTGAGTACATCCAACTTTCAGACCAGACCATCATCCTGAACAGGATAACCCTGCACCCAGGCTGCTAGCAGACACTGGAGACACCAATTTCAGCATTTAAAAAAGCAAATGCCTAAATACAACCACCTTTCAAATGCTGCCAGCTGCTTTACAACTTCCCTTGCTGAATGCATGTATGGGCCAACTGCAGCCAGGGGAGGATGGGGCAAGGAAAGGGAGGAAAACACAGAAAAATGAAGCAAAACCAGGAATGAGAGACACGGCTAATGGAGAACACATTACATGTCCTAAACTGTGGTTTAGGAGCCAGAATGCAGCAACCAAGTTAAACTAATTAACTTTGGCTCGACAAATAATCTACCATAATTTAGAATTCATCTCTGGAAAACAGATGTTCATAATCATGATTTACTAAGCTACTGGGAAAATTCAAGCTATACCATGCATCCAAACTGCTTCCAAAAGGAGAGAGAGAACATGATTCCAGGGACTCAGGGGTACTCATTASAGACTCCTGTCTTCTACACTCTGCAACACTTACTTGTTCCCCAGTTTTTTGCATCTCTCCATCATCTCAGTAAGCAGAACCTGGAAAAATTACTTATTAAAATTAGTGAATAGAGACTTTGCAATATATTCAGCTTTAATTACTGAAATCTCCTAAAAGCTGTTTTAATTACCTTCCCAATACATTCCAATAGTCCYGTCTTATCCTATACTCAGAGCACAAACAAACAATTGCATAGCATAACATAAAACACATCCTCTGGAAGAGGTACAGTGGCATTTCAATCAAAACCACCATTTTATGGAAGTCAAATTTGCAATCTTTCATCCATGCCATTACTCCTGATAATCACTATTTGCCAGCCAGGTCAGTTATTTCTGGCAGGAGAGGTGAAAACTCTGCCAGACTGCAAACCACACTGACAGAGATTAGAACAGCCTGTTCACTGTGTTAAGCTACAGTTTAATGAAATAATTTCTGTATCTGTATGACACAAGAAACTGATGACTTGAGGAAATAAAGATTAAACTAGCTAAAGGTCAGCAAGAAACCAACAGCAATACTGCCTATGAACTTGGTCACACTTGAGCTTTGTGGAAACAAATATTCTTTCTGCACAAAAGAGAGCAGCAGACACTCCTGTGCAGGCACTTTACCCTTGTTTTCACACTCATGGAAGAACAGGGGGTGTTTTTAATAGGCACAGTTAACTCTCCATCACAACACTTGCTTTAGTATTGAGCATGACCAGATTCACTTACATCTGGAGCATGGTATGCAATGCACTGTAAAATCCAGTCTATAGCAGGAGAATACAGCGTCAGGTACACAGGGATCTCCACACCTTGCACCACCAGCTGGTTCTGAACTGTATCCCCGTGGATCTGTTCAAATAASAGACAAATACATCTTGCTGTGAGAAGATATTTAATGGGATATGTGATAAACTGGACAAAGTTTGTATATGAATGGAAACAACAAAGACATTATCACAAAGATAGAGATATTCTGAAGCATTCCTTGTAAACTGAGGGGAAAAAACCCCTCAAGCGCCTAATATATCCAAAYCTGGAAACATGCTGAATAGAGCAGYTTCAATTTATCAGAATATAGGTGAAATTTCCCATACTATGTCCGGATACAGGAACTTCAAAGATTTTTAAAATTATGTGGCAGTTTGATTAAGGAGTGTATTTATCTGATTTTGCAAATAAAACACTTATTTGCTTACTTGCTTAAATGTTAGAAGAAAGTCAAAAAAATTTTTGTTCAGGCTTTCTTTGAGTTGTGGTGCCACTTCCATCCCAACCTGTATTAAAAGAAAAAGATTTATCAGCATCTMTCAATTCTCCTTCAGTGTGAGACAAAAACACCTTTGCTGAAGGAATGCACCCAAGCCACACACATCAAATCAAATCACATGCTTTTGATCAATTAATTCCTTGCTTACTGTTACAGTTATGTCCACCAACAACTGCCCTGAGGCACTGCAGCTTTGTTCACACAAACCCTCCTAACATCAGCTCCAAGCATCTGTAAGCAGTAAGGGAATCACTCTCTACTCCAGTGCACTGCAAAAGCCCACAGCAGCACATCATATTATTCTTACTTATTATAAACATTTAAAGAGAGATTCCCTATTCTTGAACAGAAGAGAAATTATTATTTGTTTGTTTGTTTGTTGAAGAGACAGGCTGCTGACTGCTCCAGATAAAAGCAGTAGTTCCAAGAAGCAGTGGCAGCACTAGATGCAGTAAATCTTTGCTAGATCAGAGTTAAATGACAGCCTACCCTGCAAAGGTATGCTCTGGCATAAACTGCAACCAGTGGATCTCCAATTCCTCTAATCATAGATGTTAACCGTGGAAGACATTCTGAAATCCCCCTGTTTTYATCAGAAATGAAAATGGGCTTTAACAGTCAGTAACAGAATTATAWCACCAACAGATAACTTCAGCATTGCTTTGTAGACCAACAGTGGAGTACAAGTTATAGAAGTATGTATCAAAGGATACTAGCACAAAAATTTATTTYGTAAGTAAAATTTTATGTGTACAGTAATACATATCCTGTATTCAAATTGCAGTATTTGATATTCAGGGCAAGGCAAATGAAACTAAATAACTCCTCCTGTAGGATGGAGAACAGCAGAGCTATGGAAAAGCTGTAACTCAGTGCAAGGAAAACAGACACTTAAAGCAGAGCTGGTGGAAGTTGTTCATGTCTCATTTTCCACAGGTCCTTTTTGACAGAGCTGTACTAGAGACTGACTATGAGGCCCACTTATTCCAGTAAAAGAACTGCTTTTTAGGGATAATAAAGTTGTCACTACAGTAGCAATTTGGCTTCCAACACTCAATTCAAAATATAACTGAAGAGAGACAATTACCAGGGAAGGGACATTTTCTGCTCAGCAGCTGACACTGTCTGGCAACACATTAAACTTATATCAATGTTTTCAATAGATAATGGTTCATTGATCCTAAATTATCTCTGCAACTTTGTCTCTCAACCCTCCTTTCAGTTTTCCATGCTGCCTTTTACCCACGCTCCTCATCTCAACAGTCCTCCTTCCCCCTCCAGCACTAGAAGCCACTGGTTTCAATTTGCACTGGGATTTTGACACCTGATATCACAATTGTGCTTATATTTGAAAACTAAGAGCACTCTTGTATTTCAAAGTGTACCACGGTTTACCCTCAATTTTTTTCATGGTACTCTCATTAAAAATTCCAAAATCTCTCTGTACTGCTTCTTCTCAGTTCTGCTGAGACCCTACCCACTGTTAATCACAGAATTCCTTGAATTTGTTCCTAAGTCTGCCATTCACTTCTTTCCCATACTTAACATTATTCTTACGTTTTGGATAGGAACTTATTGCACTTCAGTATTGCTGCTTCCACGTAACTAAATTGAAGCCAAGTTAAGGAACTAAACTTAGATTCACACCATTGAAAAACCTGAAGCAAACAGATACCAAATGCATATTGAAGAGTGTTTTAAGGCCTTCTGTAATTAATGTCACGAAACTTGGTTAATTTTTACAATTTATCTACGAGATTTTGTTTCTAAACTTTTCATACATCATCTCTACTATGTCATTGCCAAATTGCTCAGTCAATATTTAAGCATTCAGTTGACTCTGAAGCATGACTCAAAAGTACATTCAAAACACACAGCCTGAAAAAACAAAACAAAGCCAGTATAAACACCAGATCCTGCAGGTTTTATTGAAGCAAACCTGTTCATTTTTGGAAAAATCTATAAAAAACCTGCAGACACCCTCTGAGGGTCTCATTTGACAAGGATACAATCTCGGAATGAGTTCTCTGATCGAAGCAATCTTGAAAAACCAGTTTAAACAGGTTTCTTTAGCAGTATCGTTAACACTCTCTGGAGAAAAGTTATCTAGGCAAAAAAAAAAAACCAAGCCAGAAATAGTTACATCCTTTCTGGAAACAAGTTACTTTTCATTCGAGGTTTAAAACTGTATTTTCTGTCCATTCATCAAGAAATTATGTGCACAATAATAAACAAGGTAATACATTTGCTTCTTAGCTCTCTTGAGCAGCAGAGTGAAGCACATAACAAGAACAGGTAAGAGTCTTGTGGTAAATAATATTTCAGAATCTGAATTTAAGCACTTCAAAGCTCATCTCAGAGCTGCTATTGAAAAATTGGACCTCAGCCTCTGCTCCCCAAAGGCAGAAACTGTAAAACAATTAAATACAGGGAATCAATAACAAATATGTGTATATAAATCTACAATGAATAAAGAATATATAAAAGGTATTTAAGCACGCAAATGCCTTTTAAAATAAGGCTAACATAAATTTTAAATAATACTATTGCAAGAAGTAGGAAATGCTAAACACAGAAACTTTGCTTCTGTACTCTGAACATTAAACACATTCTCTTACACACTCCTTGTGAAACAGTTTAAAACACCAGAAGATGAGAAGCTCCACAAGAAAGYTTCCAACTTCCAACAGGAGAGAAGTCACATATTAGAACTTCCTGTACTCAGKATCTTTCTCATCCAGGACCTCAGTTCTCCCTGAATTTTGTTTCACTTGGTTCCCCAAGGACGAGCTCAAAGGCTGGTCCTGAGATCCCCAAAGGTTCACAGTTGGTGCAGCACAGATTTTCCTTTTCTCTCCCATTTTTACTGGAATTGCCAGCAGCAATGCCTCTGGCAGTGTACAGCTGCAGCAGCACTCAGCTCTGTGCTCAGAAATCCTCACATGCTATGGCAACTGCCTGCCTTCATTAATGCTTACAAGAGCAGGCTGTCAGATCTGCAACAACCAAATTTATCTTAACTATTTTCTCGAAGTTTATTTCAAATTTCAGTATTTGCTGGTTCCAAGCATCTGGCTCCAATCCTGTGCATTTAACTGCAAACTAATGGTACTGTTYCAKTGCCAGCTACAGAGTAAGATTCTTTCAGCATTCAAGGATGTGCACTTCATGCAYTTCAAATTGTAAAGAAATGCCTGTATTTACCATGGTATACTTCAATGTCTTGCTAAAGAGGTTCTTCCACACACACTCATACTGTAAATGTCAAATTAAATTTTTTAATTGTGTTGCAACTAGAAAATTTTAAAAGCCCAAGTTAGAAGGATTATGCTAGATGTAGCCCACTAATTCTTCCAAAAYTCTTCCTTAATTAAAGCAAAACTACCAAGTTTCTAGTGGAGCAGCAAAAACATCTATTTACCAAAAACTGAGACTCTCAGCTTTGTTGCATTTCTATCATTAATTTTAAGCTACTAAACTGTAGTACTTTCAGAAGAGAGCATATGCTAAAAAGAAAAAGGAAAAGAAAGTCTTCCTTCATCTAATTTGCCAATCCTGTTTAAATCTCCCTCCACTAATTAATTCTGTATTAGAGAACTTTGTGATTTCAAATCTCGTGAAGACCCAGTTTATATTTAGTAACAGCAGAGCCACAAGCACATTCTATTATATCTTAGGTTTATTCTTCACAATTAAAATGTAAACTTGGATGAACACTATGAATAGTAGAAGCTTTAAGCAATGGATTTTACTCTGCTAAAAACTAAAAACTACTAGATTGAAATCAGAACCTTTTCTGTAAGAGACAGAGAAGCAGGGGTCCTGTTTAACCTTCCTCAAGTTAGGACATGATTCTTTTCTGGAGCACCATGGCAACARAAACAAAATTACCTGGCAGAGAGACTCGGTTATCCATGCACATTGACAGAATTCTTTCATACACTAGTTTCCCTGGTTAAAAAAAAGAAMAAKAATAATTAAAAATAAATTCCTAACAAATTAAACTGTAAACCACAAAACGTAGGTACAAAGCTTCCCTTTCCAACAATGAAATTCTCTGGAAAAGCTTCCTGGAATGCTGCCATTCTGGTGCCCTCTGGTGAGGCTGAAATGTTGGGGGTCATTCAGAACTTCTCACACTGCAAACATTCYCTGGCTCCCTCAGTGCAGAGGTAAMRSCMRSWCAGATCCATCCCGAGCCAGGAAAGGACAGCTGTGYCCTGACTTGCTGAGTTTGGATATTATGTGATCTGCAGCAACTCTCAGCAAGAGGAAAGAGCACAAAGAGGRAGCACGACCTGAAAAAACAATTCCACCTATGTTGCAGCATATCCTGCTGGCACCAAAATACCCTTCAACTTTGAATACCATCGTAATTCTTTTTAATGACATGGCAGAAAAAACACAGAATCACATGAAGTAGAAGACATTTTCACTTAAAAGTTTAAAAATATATCATAAAATTTGGTAACTACATTCYGATCAATTCATAGACCCTATTCAGCCAAAGAAAAATTTGAGTCCTATTCTTCAAATATAATGAAATATTGAGTCAAGAGGCTGCTAAAATCCAAAATATTTTTATACTCTGTTTTAAATTTCAAAATGCACAGTTGATTTTTCCCAAAGTTTTGTTCTAAATATTCATTAATACATTTAGTGCTTTAAAGCACAGAACTACAAAATGAAATATTTTTATCTTAAAGACTTTGCTCTTAAGATTTTTTTAACAATTATATACCATTAGTGCTATAAACACCAGTTTATAGCACTGTTGTCCAAATGTCTATGTTGGAAATATTCCACGTTAAAACTAAAAGTCATTTCAGCCCCTTTGGATAACTCTTGATGCTTTCTTACACTACCAAAAAAAAAATCTTATTAACAATTGTGCAGTAAGTCTGGCACAGTAGATACTTACCAAAAGTATCAAGGATATCTGTGATTAAAACAAATTTACTTGGATAAAACTGGATTACKGTTGTGTCTGAAAGAAGCTTAGAACACTAGAAAGAGAAAAAAAAAAGAAAGAAACCTTTTTAGAGGCCAATGCAAGTGGGTGCTTTTACTCCAGAAAGGCTGGAATGAATTAATATCCACAGATGGAAAGGGCCAATGTGAACTATGAAGACAAAATCACAAGGACAACATAACAAACCATAGTGCTGTTGTAATTGTCAGGTTATTCTTCATTTSCAGAGCTAATCACAGACAATAAAAYACCTCACAAGACTGCTCMGTTTAAAAAAGGAAATCCTAACATTTGAACATGCTTAAACCAGGGCCACACTTTGTCTTTTTGCTTTATTCATCAGGGTAACTTGAAGAGTGCACTGGAAAGACAGGCGAGAGCATTCACATCCTACAACCAAAGCACAATCTTCCCTGCTGCAGGTTTAGTCTGGMACCTTCACTACACATATTAATATCATGAACACTTAATTACCACTTTTCYTAGAGCTCACATACAAAACCAGCTCATTTCAGCTTACTCATTTCAGCATACTCCATCTGGACAAGTAAACTATCTTGCAAAATGGCACTTGAGGAATCATAGAATCACTTAGGTTGGAAAAGACCTTCCAGACTGTTGAGCCCAACCTTTAATCCAGCACTACCAAGACCACCAGTAAAAAACATGCCCAAGTGCCACATGTACACATCTTTTAAACACCTCCAAGGACCGTGGTGCCACCACTGCCCTGGGCAGACTGGTCCCATGCCAGTGAAGTTGTTTTCCTAAGCAGAAGCCAAACTCACTGCTCGTACTGCACACCAACCAGTGTGTAATGACACACTATGTATATGTGGATGTATAAAACCACAGCCTGATGTCGAGAAACTGCTCAGGTCTTTCAGAGGATCCATACCCTGCAGCAAGAACCATGACAAGTACACTTCAATGAGGTTTCTATCCTATCCTGTTTTATAACTACAGAATTATWATCCTTCATGATTTCTTTTTTATGCACGTGAATTACCCAAATGCCTATTCCATTCTTAGCCAGTGTTTCAATTAGTGATGAGTATCTGCAGCATTAAGTGCTAAGTGAACAACATTTTAGCATGGATAAACATATTCAACTTTGGTATCACTTTCCTAAAAGGAAGCACTGAATTTCATGTTAGAAACTCTATTATTTCAAAATTGTTTGTGAATCATTTGCAAAAGAACACAYGAAAGYATCCATGCATAGATTASTACTGCATATCACACATATRTTTATATATTTACACACCTATTAAAGCACTGTAAGTACAGGACATCCCTGCTCCTTTTCTTCTCATCCAAAGACAATATTCACACTTCACAATCCTATATATGGATTTTTTTTTAAAATAACAATAATAGTGCTGATTTCATAGTATTACAATAGAACATTWGTCACCCTAGGTCACATATAATTGCTTGATCTCACTTCATTAATGTTTCATTTCCTTTTATGTCTTTACCACAATTTAAGATGAAATTACTTCAAGCAGTTTTCACAAGAGTATCCAGAATGACCAAAAAAATCCTGACTTTATATAACCCCACTGGATGACTATGAGCACTACATCAGTTTTACAGCTTTTAAGGATGTCATTATCTCATCTGTCCTTTGCTACACTCTGCCTCTGGCTTTTTTTAAAGGCCAAGTCAAACAAACAAGCATTTAACTGTCCTATTTCCCCTTGCCCTCCTCGAAGCACATCACCCCAAATGACCCACAGGAACACTGGGGACAAGTTTTAAAACAAACAAACAAACAAAACAAAACCCCACACACACAATTTTGAAATTCTGGAGGTTTTTTTGGTAGCTTGCTGAGATCCTAAATCCCATTAATTCAATTGCCTTAGTAAGTCTGGATGGGTAAAACACTGATGTTCAAAAAGCCATTCTGGTATAACTTGTGGGGAGCGAGGGGCTGAAGGGGAAGAAGACAGGAAAGGAAATTATGTGCCCTAAAAGGAGCTGATATTACTACATGTTATTTATTCTAACTATACTKAAGCAGGTAAAATTTCCACATCTGYCATTTGGTGACTCATTGAGAATTCMATCTCATACAACCTAGTCAAAACCAATATGTAACAACAAAGCTGAAAATCCAGCTCTTGCCAGAAGTCATAAAACTCTGAAAGAAGTGTGTTTCAGAGAAGRACAAAAGAAAATAATAGAAAAATAATAGAAACCCTTCTTTTCCCAGGAAGGAAATTGGACAAGTCATATCACCAGACTCACTGGCTCTGTATAGAACAAAACCAAAACTGACCTGGATGACTATTTTCAGAGCTTTTACTTTCTGATCAGAGGACCATGCATCCTTTAAAGACTGGTTCAGTTCTTCAATTCGGTTCATGTAATCCTGCTGAGTCAAATTCAACAGCTCTTTCTGTGATCCCTGGTAAGGAAACACAAACCKACTGAGCAAGAGCAGGAGGGAAGGAAGGAGAGTGCTGTTACTATAGACTCAAATTGCCATGTTGTGGGGGAGAACCCTACAAAAGTGATTACAACTTCCCTTCAGGTCACAGAAAAGCAGGTTATGAAACTTCTCACCTTTGCACAGGAAAATATTGCAGCTTGAGAAGTAACTGGAGTACTCAGTATTTCTATCAAGCTATAATTGTAACTTTATTTAAGCTCAGCTAGAGAGTATGCAGCTTCTGCAGCATGGACAGCCAGAATTATCAGATGTTGAGACTACTARGCTCCACAAAGTTCTACAGCAGCTGCAGATCATGCACAGTAACAAGGTAAATCAACAGCAAGAGATGAGGTAAATTTCAAATCACAATTTCTAGTGTTACAAAAATATGATTCTGCCTGAATCCTGTAACAAATAGAGATTAAAATTMCTAGAGAATTACCACAGAAAGTACATATTTATCTAAAMAATGCATAAGCACTTGCAGAATCAGGACCTTTTTAAAAGTTTCACAGAGGATTTTTATTTCACACATTCCTTTCATTATTATAATGGTGCTGTAATTTCATCAGAAAACTTTCTCACCTCTTCCAGATCATCCAATTCTTCTAATCTTGTCCTCACTTTTTCAGAAACTGCTGAACCAGTAGTTGTGGCTTTTCCTGTAAAGAATTACATGTCAAAGTTTAACATTTAAACACTGGGATTTCTGAAGAGAAACAAACCTGAAGGAGTSTGACAATGACCAGTCAGCTTCTGTGACAGAGGTGTTTTGATGCATTTAGAGAGTATTCCTGAAGACACACAYCTAAGCACACCTACAATGCACTCACTTTGAACAAGGGGGATGACAAGTAAGCTAAACTKAATATAAGTGGATTTTCTCGCAAGTTTTACAGGAAAGAAAAGAATCAGCAGACAGAACCATAGGATAATTTAGGATAGAAAAGCTCTGTGGAGGTCTGTGTCCAACTCTCCTCCTCAAAGCAGGTCCAATTCTGAAGTTAAAACAATTGCACACAGTCATATCCAGTCAATTTAACAATACCTAAGGATACAGATGTCACACTCCTCCTGAACACCCAGTTTCAGTGTTTGACCATTCTCATTGCAAGRAAGTATTTTGTACTTCTCCAGAAGCTGAAATGCTGCATGTTTATCCATATATACAAATCCTGACTTATTATGCTATGATTACTTAGCCCAGATTCTCTTCCCTAAAAACATGATAAAATATTTAACATTTGGTTAATTTTTGAGCASCCAGCATACAGTTGAGATCATTTCACTTTCACATAGAGAGAATAACTGAACAAGTTCCCAAAGGACTCATCTGCTTTCCTTCCAGCTAGCAGAAGAGTTGACAAACACGATCCTCAAAACATCATTGCTTAGTTTAAATGGAAAGAAGTATTAAGGTACAGTGGAAGGCAGTGCAGTGCAATTATGACAAATTCATGAGCCCACAGGAATAAAAGACAAGGTGGTTGGCTGGCTTTTYAGTAAAAATCCACAAGTCTTACCCACAAAAAATGCGTGGACCCYGATGTCAGAATGGAGGAGGCAGGAAAACACATTTCAAGTATTCTTGACCACAAACCTGTCACTGCACCCTGCCTCAAGCAAACTCTGTCACTGTTAAAGAGAGTGCTCACCTTTYTCAGATCCCATGTACAGATTCTGTGAGGAAGCAGAAAAAGCAGACTTTTAGAAAGCACTCGCTAGCATTCCAAGAATGCATAGGGTAATTAACCCTCTGGTACAAATAAAAAAACCTGTAGAAGCCACTTACAATAGAAAGTTTCTCTGTTGTTGTGTATCTAGCCAGGATGTCACCACGTTTGTTTGACCATGGCTCAAAGTCACTTCCTACAGCTGAGCTCTCATCTTTATCCCGTTTCCTTCGTGCACCATCCTGTGACAGGAGTACAAGTGCAAACGTTAAATACAGATACAGAAAAAGAAGAGAAGGCTCATAWAGGTCAATTTAACACTTCAAGTGCTAGCTCATCCTTTCAAAAGTTACAATGTTTTTTTAAAATCTATATTTAAATAAATATCTCAATATAAACCAGATAAAAGTAGATAAATAAAAAGAATGTTCTATTAAGACAGTATATTTCCTATATTAACTTCTTAATTGGTGAGAGAAATATATTTTATCCAGGGGTGGCTTTGCAGTTCTCTTAAGTTTTGGTTTTATTTTATTTAGCTGAGSTAARTGCCCCTGGTGTTACCGTGGGAGCYGCAGCAGGCACAGGATCTGCAGCTGCAGCAAACAATGACARGGGATCAGTGCCATCCAAAACACTGCTCAGGGGGTCCATCAGAGAATTAGAGGAGGAAGAGGAGGTRGAAGAAGTGCTTCCTTTCCGGTTCATTTTCTTGGTCTTGGATTCAGTAACCTAAACAAGAAGTTCAAAACMATTACACAAAAAGGCTTTCTGGCTTTCTCTTCCCTCTCTTCTCTTTAATAAATTGTTAAAATACATGCTAYGTGAATTGTGCTGTTGCAATGAAAGCAAGGAGAAATCAAACAATCTCTTTAGAGTGAGCACCAGCATTTAAACTGAGGCACCCCCTTTTCCCTGAATCTGGAGGCACTCATTCTTCAGTAGCATTTCCATTACTTTTTTTTTCTTCCCAATTCTAGGTCTACAAAACTGTAAGAACAACCACTCTAAATTTCTTTCTACTACCCCTCCTCTATTTTATTAGGTTTGCCCCTCTCCCCCAACGTCTTTCTTGCTATTTAATTTCTTCTACCAGCTTTATCTTTACTTTTCTTGCATGACATTCAAGCCTGGAACATCAACCTAAGGCTGCCATCTTATGTCCCCACCGACCTTCCTGAGCAGAAGCTGCTGCCCATTTATCATTCATTACTGGATAACTCATCTCTTTGAAGCCAGATCCCTTTTTTTGGTGCATCTTTAAAAGCCTCTTATACATCAAAGAAATAATAAATACTTTAAAGTACACACCTGACTGGAATTTAACGCAAAACTAAATCTTACATCAAGCAATTATGCAGGTTATTGGTAATGCAACAATTTGATTTTAGATTTATCCATTATTCAGCATTTAAAGTAACCAAGAACACCACAGGCTGAAGTGCTGTATTTTTCAGGAGACTGCTTTTGACACATAACAGCACCAGCAAACTTATGTAAAGGGCAAACAGAATAAACTTTGATCCTGTGAACAACAGGCCACTAACAGAGAAAACAACTTCACAAGTACCATCAGCAACATTAAAGCCCTATAATTGTAAAGGGACACACCTAAAGAGGAACACAATCAGTTTGAATTCAGATTGATTTTCCAAAAGCACAAAAAAAACCTCACTGTAATGGGTTTCAGAGGATGGTAATCACCAAAATCCAAGGGTACGGACTCCAGTTTGCAYGCTTCAGATTCTGACACATAGTTTCTTGATCTTGCATGCCTTAAAAGGGAAGAGTGAAGGGAAAGTATATATGTATATAAATAATCACATACCAAGGGTAAATAACGGGAGGCCAGTGGCTGTCGCGTCCTGCCCGGCTCCCATCCCTCAGGAGAGCTGTGCCCCCAGCCCGGGACTCGCCTGGCTCAGCACAACGCCAGGGTGCTGTGAATGTCACCTGTACCCTCGAGTGTCGGGAATGTCACCTGTACCCTCGGGTGTTGTGTTGTGAATGTCACCTGTACCCTCGAGTGTTGTCAATGGGATCTGTACCCTCGAGTGTTGGGAATGGGATCTGTACCCACCCGTGGGGTCCCAGTGCCCCGAGGCCGAGTGGCTCCGAGTGCTCCGGCACAGCCGGGACCGCCACAGCCCCGAGGCCGCGAATGTCACCGAGCATGACAGCCACCCTGGCCCAGCCGGGACCCGCAACCCCCCGAACCCGCCGCACACACACACACAGACACACACACACACGCGCACACGCGCACACACACACACTCACAATGCTCACACTCTCACACACACACACACACACAGCCCTCACACAGCCCCGGTGCCGCCCCTCACCACGGGAACGCCGCCATCTTGCTCCCGGTCACATGACAGCGCGCGCCGGCCCCGCCCCGCCCCGCTCGCAGCGCGGGAAGCGCCTGAGGGGCGGCGCGGAGCAACAACAACAGCGAGGAGATTGCTGGTAAACATTCACCGTTTATTGTGCAGAATGCTTTAAGWAAAAAGCGAGACTGGTGAAAACGAAACAATGTACAAAAATAAATTGACTTTTGTAATGGGATCACAATTCCACACAAAATAAAAAGATAAATATGTATAAATACGAAACATCAAAAAACCAAATTCTGGCACCTGTCAAGACAAAGGCCTCGTGAAAGTTTARMAAAAAAMCCAAAYCCTTGTGCTAGAATGACTTATTACACACTGGAAACATGCTTGAAGAACAAGAGATTTAGATATGAAACCCTAAGAGAAGGCAAACATTCATTTCAACTAACACACTAAACCTATCTGTGCATCAACRTATTGCCTATGCTAATAATAAATACAGCACATAAAACATCCATTAAAAACATCAATCTTTAGTGCTGCTATATCAACAGCACCGTTTGTGTCACACATGAGAAGTTATACTTGTCACTGGAAATTTTTTCCCTCTTGTTTTTCACTCCTTAGGAAAAGCTGGGGCCTAAAAGAGAGTTTGGATTCCCAGCRGATGAGCAGGATGCTTGCCTCGGGCATTTTCTGTATTACAGCCGAGATTTTAAAGCACCATAGCATTTGTATGAAGGACGCAGGTCCTCCACTGGTGCAAACTCCTGCATTTACACCATTAAACTTTACACCATTAAAGCACCCCTGCTGGCCCCAGGCTTGCAAATAAGCCAAGCAGTACCCGGGCACTGCTTTTGCCTTTTYCCAAGAACACCATTTGGTAACTGAGTGCATGGTCTAACACTGCTGTTCTGAACAGCATCAGGAGCTGCAGAGGACAGATGTGGTGGCAGATAAAAGCCACAGGCTGGTGCCACAGCCAAGCCAGCCMCTCCTCCCTGCCCAGCAAGGCACTGTCCTCATCCCATCATTAACCTTCCTCTTTCCTGCTGGTTACCACAATGCAATTTTCAGTCAGTCGTTTTTTCTCYTACATTCATGTCAACACATTACAAACCCTCCAAAGTCAGTCTGTTGTATTGTATTGACACTGGGAAAGTAACAAAATACAACCTATTTTACCTGYTGACAGTCAGTTCTCCACTGCAAGGATTATACAGATGAGCTCTTCTCTCTAAGACTTGTCATGTCTCAAGTTCATTACAARAAGGTGGAGAATTATGCTCTCCTCAAGTTGATGGATAATATCCATCAGTTGGAAGACTGAGGTAAAATTTGACTATGATCTTTTAATGTTACATATTCATAAATATGAAAGTGKTGGGATTTGGTAGGGATTCCCCAGCTGCAGAAACAACTTCAAAGGGCCTGTTAAATCACAGCGGAAAATACCTGCTCAGAAAAATTGCAAGTGCCATCAATTAAATATAATGTATCTGGATTACTATTATGGACGGAAATCACTGAAATGGTAAAACAAAATCTTGCCTCCTGAAGTTTCTGTAGCAAATACATGTCTCCATATTGGACAAATGTTGTTTCCATCAGAAAATGCAGTAGACAGCAGGGAAATAAAAACCCTGGACTCTTTCAGTAGAGTGGTTTGATCTACCACACACAGAAATGCAGAGTTTTGGATTAGTCAGTTATAAGCCCAGCAATAAACCTGGGCCACGCCYGTCCAGCTCAGCAGAAATGCAAAACTTTTGGTACAAGGCCTTTAGTACTGAAACTGAGCTATTCTCATTCTTACAGAAAGTACATTCAAAACGGCTGCCGACAAATTCAGTGACATGAAAGCTCACTTTTCTTTAARTTAAGTTTGGGAGATTTTTCACATTTAGCTGCTTTAACTTTATGGTTGAAACTAAATATATACCACCCCTGACTCCCCTATAGTGGCACTCATACACAGAACTGCAATTTCAGTAAGGCCAAAAGCCTATGTCAAACACTAGAATTAGGAAGTGTGAAAAAGTCACAAATTTCCTTCATGTTACCCTCTGGTAGTCTTTAAATAAACAAGATTATGAATCTTTTATATATTAATACTAGTCTGTACACAAGTTCTAACATGTAATTTCCCCACAAATATTAGAGCTTCAAAGCATATTACTTCAATGTGATTGTGTTAATGTGTCATCTGAAAATGACAAAGTAGGTTTTTTAATGTCTAAATATACATAGTATGCAAAGAAGAAGTAATATTAAAAACCAGTGCTGAGAATACCATCATTAAAACACAGGCATTTTATCCCAGTGAGTGCTGTCTTCTTAAATTGTCACAACATTTGGCTTCTTTCTTTGGGTTCTTCCTGCATATGCTCCTAAAAGTAAGTAGAAACATTACCATTTTATGATTAATAGTACTGGGTTTTGAAACAGGATTATCCAACAAAAATTCCTGAAAAAATTTAGGACAAATTTTTTTAAGGCAGTATTATGCATTCAGTGACTACTTTTAAAATAACAGTTTTCACAATGTTACACCCTGAAAGCCTTMGGAAAACTACCAATAGGTTCAAAAGTAAGGACAATTTATAATATTGCCTTCCTTGGTAACTATTCTATCTTCTCTTCTGCTACTTTAAAACTACAACCACAATTCACCAATTTTTAAAAGAACCGTTACATCACCAAGRCAGAGATAAAATGGCTGACAAATTTAACTATGCCATGTCTTACTTTTAAACARATTATCAATTAAGAAAATACCATAGGAGTTAAATAGTTAAAATAACTCTTTGCTTTTGTCACACTAATTACAACAAGAGAAGTTGTAGGCCTCCATACATCAGCATAAGACAACCAGAACTAGAAGTGCAGTATGAATATGAATAACGTCATCAGGCACAGCCTTTATAAAAGGAAGGTTGCTTAAGGAGAAAAATAATAAACAAATAAATAAATCTTTCCACAGGGAACAAGTAAATACAGACATATATTTTTTAAATCCATATTATACTATGCATAGCACAAATACCTTCCAGTACTAAGGGTTCAGCAGYGCAGGCTGCTAAAAAGTAGCACAACTCGGCATTCTTTAGGTGGAAGCAGTTATCAACAAAGTGCAGCAGTGTGAGCAAACATTTACCCAAAGCAGTGAAAATCATACTACAGGGTGCAGAGCAGTGGGAATGGAAGACAGCCATGGAAGAGAAATGATTACTAAGCAAGTAAATGAGTGAGACAGAGGAAGTGCCAGTCCTCTTTAGGCTCTTGAGTTCCTCTGGGTCAGAGCTGCAGTGGTTACAGGCGTCCGAGGGCTGTGCTCAGCACAGCAAAGCTGCTTTGGCAATGGCCAGAGCCCTCCCCACAGCAGATCCCTCCCTTTCAACAGGCTCCCACTACACCAAAGGCATTCCTGCTGGCCCARCACTGCCCAGGGCTGCACTCTCAGCTCACTGCGAGCTCACAGGACAGACAACCAGGCTGACAGACATGGTGCTTTAGTAGTGATTAATGCTACCCCTTAACTCTCTKCAAGTGTCCTCCAAGTCATAGAAAATTCCCATACAAGTAATAGGATATTACAGTAATAGTATATGGAAGTACAAAAATCCCACAGCAATCTAGAYGATGGAATTGCAGAATGCAAATCTGAATAAAAAGAGTGACAGTTCTAAAAACRATTACCAGGCAGCCTTTTCCAGCAGCGAGGGGCAATGACATGAGGCCTCCCTTTGGGACAAAGGACAGACCTGGCACTCACACACAGCAGGCCTGAGACTTTCATCCAAGTTTACTTTTGGTTACTATCTACTTCTCAACAGTTCTAGTGAATATATCTGGCAATCTTTTTATGACTCACTATTGTGAGTGAAAGCAAATGAGCTGTGCGCAGTACATTCTATACACTTTGTTTATAGAATTTGAAAGTGGATGGTTCAGTTATCAGCGCAGATTTGTTTGAACAGATAGATTAGACTTAAGGCATAGCAAAGCAGGTGCACAAAGAAAGGAAAACAATATATTGCCAGTTTATTTTCCCTAAATACTAATAACTTATTACTATAAGATCCAAGCACCAATTTTCTACACACCTGAAACAGCCTTGTTAGAAACTCTGCTCTCTGAGGCCTTCTTTCTATTTTGCTCAACCCCATTCACTGAGGTCTTAGGGGTTCTAGTTAAATATAAAAGAGTAAATAAGTCACTTGCAACAAAGTTGAAAGGCTGCATACAAAAATATAGACACTATCAAACTCTGTTTGGCATGAAAACATTTTTAMAATGTCCCACAGAGCCTCCTCCTGACCGCCTGTGTAGTTCCTATAGGCATTATTACAGCTTACACAAATACATTAAGTAGGAGAACATCTCCCCATGAACAGATTCAAAAACTCTGTTCAAGAAACCSATTCAGTTCAAGTACTATGGCATTACAGTCTACACAGAAAAAYACATGTATTTCATTAAGTGGAAGCAAAGCTTCATGGAATGAATGTTACAAATAGAAATGTTGGAACAGTGTAAATGAAGACAATACACAAGAGGATGACAACACTAAATATTTTTCTTGCAGTCTAAGGTAAAACAAAGCTTCATCATTCTCTCACAATACTGGGGGAAGTAATTATTTTTACTCTGAACAACAGTTGCACCATTATGTGTAAATATTATCCAGCAATCACTGGTTCTTGCACTTTGCATTTACTTTCATCTTTAGGCTATAMACCTCCTGTGCTCTTACCCTTGTCTGCAAAGCAGTCTATGAACTGGGGCATTCTGTCCTTGGTTTGGTTGAAGTATGCTGTTAAAACACAAACTTTATTAGTGCTTTTTTCCTTCAAAAATATAAAGCTCAAGAAATACTGAATTATACATCAYGTTTCACACAACAAATTTAAGAAGGGCTAACTGGTTTTGTAATGCAAATGACATGAAGGCMAAGTGGCTGGAATTAAAATTCTAGAGTAAGATTATTATTTCCACTATTTAWAACAAACAAAAAAGCACACAGATCATCCACAACAGTGCCTTGGGATCCAATCATTATGAGAACACACGGGAAAAAGGGCTGAATTGCCCACAGTGGTCCTTGTAGATTGAACTGCATGAGTAAACAACATGTCTTTCCTAATTTCTAATGAGCCAATACAAACCCTTTTGTCAGGCCATGCTAAATCAGATTTCATTACTTTCCATCATAATAGTAGCAGGAATTGAGCTGATCGATGGCAAACCAACAATACAGATGACAGAGTCTATCCTTATCAGACATTTTCTTAAAAGCATCATAATAAAGTAACCATCACCCACCGGCTTTCAGGAGTTTTTTGTTTAACGATTATTTTTTTACTTGGTATTCCCATTTCTGAAGCCCTAGAGAAACGAAAGTATTGAAACATATTTCAGTTATCAAATCATTATCCAGGTCTTGAGTAAAACACTCAGAGAAAGCCTACAAGAGGGACTACACCTACCTGTAAAACWGCCAGAGCAGTAGTAGGGATTATTCCTTACTCAGGAGCAAGTCTAACAACTGCTCAATCCACTGTGTTGCAGATAATGCCTGCTACCATTCCCCAGAAAAACTTTACTGGAGATACTCTATCAAGTAGTGCTATTGCTAGGTACTTTTAGTAGATAAAATCACTTGGAGCACTTTTTACAATTTGCAAAATCAGCCATAAACTAAGCATCCACCACTGCATTATAGCRTAAATGCATAACTTAGAACAAACCTTTTTCCCATGCAAACAAGAAGTCTCTTAAAAGTAAGAGCAAAATACAATTATCAAGTCAGCACACACCTGGAAAGCTTTATACTCATTCTTCCTAGGAGAGATGACAGTTTGCAAAGAAACTATTATAACTCCTACTCCTCCTCTTGAACATCTCCCACCAACCCTCCCCACCCAAGTGAGGGCTGCACATACTTCATGTACTTTTTCCTGTCCAGAGATTTCTGTGTAGCTGTTGAGAGTGTCACTCGCTCTCTTGGGCTCTTTACTTTATCCTAAAAAGAAAAGATATTGAAGAAAGTTACCTACAAAGGCATAATTAAAAATTCAGATTTAAGAAACATTGTACACASTGGGGAAGAATCTCTAAAATGCAAAATGATTCAGTACTTAAAAGTCTTAAAATATAAAGTTCACATTCCCTGGAATATAACACACCATTTGCCTGAGCATCTTCTCTTTACGAACTTCACGATCGTGACGCAGAATGTTCATTCTCTCCGATGCCTCCATTGAGAAAAAGATGTCATGGAYGTCATAGAGAGCAGCTCGCAGCTGAAAAGAATGAAAATTTTAATGTAATGTTCAATCAAGTTTACATGCCCATGGCTTTGATCAAGCTCTTTTMGSTTTTAATCTAAACAAAACACTTCRTAATTTTGRAATCAATTTTTTGAAATCAAATAAATTTGCATCAAGTGAAAAAATGGAATCTTCTCTTCTTTAAATGTTTTATTCTAAACAAAGCCACTCTCAAGGGTTTATGTATTTATATTACCAAAGCAGAATAGCTAGGAAAGACCAAAAAAAAATTAAATTCTGTCACCTGAGCCATTACTCTTTCATGAAGGGAAGCATCTTGTGCTGACACACTTCCTCTTTTCAATGGGGCTTCAGACTGAAAAATTTTTATGAACTCCAGAGTATCCTGWGAAGGATGAGAAAAGAAGAGTAAGCACCARGCATAATGCTTCATAACTAAGAMATCATTACCAACAGTACACATAGGACATAGATTATTTGACTTGGACCTCACGACACTAAACAATGCAACACTCAAATATGTTCATATAACAGTACCAACATCTTCTGAGAGCAGAAAATGCAGGATTTCATCTGTCCATTTAAGGCAGGAATAAAAACAAACAGGAGAAGGCTGCCAATTACCAAAAAGTTGAGCTTACTTTTACAGTTTGCTTAAGATGTTTCAGTTTTTCTGTCTGCAGGAGTCTACGAGTGAGAAAACCCTTTGCCACTGCAGTGACCTTGTCAAACTTCATTTGTATCTCTGGACTGAAAACCTTAAAAAAAAGAAAAAAGCATTTTCTAAACTTTTGATTAAAAAGCAAGAATCACAAATTATTTATCAAACAACATCCATCAAGTGACGTAAGTTTTCAAGTAAGAAAMAAGCTGATGATAAAGCTTTGGCTGGGCCAAAAGTACCCACCATAATTTWGCAGAAGCAATATATTGCTATATRATTATTTTGCATATATGAGTAAGAAAAAGAGCCTATWCACTTCTCCTGAGTAATCAAAGTAGCTATAGGAAGGGATACTAAAAATTTCTGTGAGATCTATTACTGCACAGYGTTATAAAGTTACCAGCACCTTACAAAAACATGAGGGCTTTTTAAGACAAAAAGAAATCTTTTTTTACCCTTACCTGAGTCCACCTAGTTTTGATCCTATTACTTGGCCTGGATACTGAGGTTTTTATAACTCCACTACCTGATGGCCCCCAGAGATAGAATGAAGTTTCACTTGTTGTAGCAAAGGTGTTGGGTGTCGTATGAGCAAAACCTGCAAACAGAACACACAGTTCAACACACACTTCTGCCAATGAAGTAATACCTGTGTCAGTGTTTACACTCAGCTCACAGGGTCACAGCTTTGTCTGCAAGGTCTCAATTATAGGCAAAAAGCAAGCTGAATAKTTCTGACTGATTTCCATGCAAAATTTGCTAAAGAGAAGACAGAACAAAGCATTTCACAATGTTCTGGAACAGTTGAGAGGGGTTCCATCAACTCTAGCTGTACTGCCTTGCAGCCAAATTTCCCTGGCAGAGCCCCTCAGAACGCTCTGCACATACGTGCTCAGCTGGCCCAGTGCTCTGCAGCCACACAGCACCAGGATAAATAACCCTTCTGGGCCATGGTGCAAACCCACACCTCCTCCTTGATCAAAGGAGGTTCTTCTTAGCTTGTTTTCCTTGGATGTGCCCTAAAACAGTTCCATAACGAATGCAGTAGACGGAACAGCCCGAGGATGGTTGAATCTGTGCTAAATGCCAGTGACACAGAGATGTGACAGAGCTGTTTCCCAAATGCTGTCCCCAGGACAGGGCTCCCCAGGAGCCCTCTGCACACCCTGAGCAGCCTGGGCAGAACACTGCACTTGTCTGTGCAGGGGGGCAGCTGCTCCAGCCAAGCACTGCACAACAAAATATAGCACAGMACTTCATCTACATTCTTCCCTCCCAGTTTTACCAATGCTGGTGGAGTTTGTGTTATGGACTGTCTCCTGCTGAGACTGCACACTTTCCAGCAAGCCACTTCCACTTTTTTTCCTCCACTCCAACTCCATCCTACTGTTAATATTCACTTTGGAAATTTCTATTTCCGTTGTAGTAACCTTCTTTCCTTCCAACTTTCTCTCCTCTTCAATTTCCTACAAAAAGAAGATTCAACCATGAGACTATTTTTCTAATTCTGTAAAGCAACAGAATATAMATTTAACCCAACTGCTTCCTGACAAACTTCCATACAACACAAAACCTTTGCTTAGAATTTTTCCTTTTGACCTTACCTTCTGATATTTTTCCTGTTCTCTCACTTGTTCAGCTATCAGAATYGACAGTTGTTGTGCATGCTCCTCTTCTAGTCTCTTTCTCATTTCTTCCAAGGCCAGCATTTTAGTTTTTAAAATATCTTCTGAGAAGACATAACAAAGAATCAAATATTAAATACCTTCTATATGATCTTTGCCAGAGACATACATCCTTTACTAAAAGTAATATGCATCATCARTAAAATGTAAGGATGTCTTTGACATCAGGTTTTCTTAGTATCAGGTTTCCATTATGTATTGTAAAGACCCCCATCATTTACTAGTCCTTCAAAACATTTGCATGCTCATATTTGCYRACTAAACTTGTGAATGGAGCAGCAGTAACACCAAAAGCCTCTACTGAAAGAAGGACATGGAAAATACAGCTCTAAGAAYTGTCACACTTGCTGGAGTGAATAAGCATCATTTATGTCACTTCAGCCTCATTTGGTAGAGACACACACAGAAGTAACAGTGTCTTGAATTTGAAGATAACACTTACATGGTTTTCTTTCCATTTACATGGGCTATCTTTTCTTTTAGTAGTCTTATTTAGACTTCAAGGCATAAGACAAGTTTCTTAGTAAAAACAAATTCCAACGTTGAGATTCAAATGGAAAATCAGTTATTTGTGATGTYAAATTAAATTAGAGAAATGAGGCTACTAAAAAAAAAAATCACATGCAATAAAATTTTAGCCTTTTGATATAATACATGCTTAGAAACCAATGATCATTGGGRCTTTTTCTAAAAAAATTTATAAATGGAGAAGTAACCCTCAACTACAGGAAATCTTTTACCTTTTGCCATATTTTCAAGGACTGCATTCTTGGTGATGTAAACTGATCCCACAGGATACTTCTGTTCTTGCAACCACTGCTTCTCTTGTTCTTCCATTCCAGTTCTTAGAACACAGATACTGTTTTCTTTTTGGCAGTTGTCTGTGTCCAAATCAAGTCTACGTTTTACCTTTTCAAAATTTTCTGGAAACTGCTCATTTGCTGAGGAAACACTTGGAGTATTATCCATCCGCTGTTGCACATTCTTGCTCTGCATTAGCAGTGGAGATGGATTTTCTACATCGTAAGATTTATTGAGTTCCACTGGAGAATTACATTTAGTGTTTTCTGGCAAAGTAGCTTGTTTCATTTCATTCACAGCCGGGATCTTCGGTGTCACTGTACACTGACTGATGGCAAAGGGCTCGCTCACTTTCAGAGGTATGATATTAGTACTGTTCTCTCCTTTCCACGGCCCTCTGCTGTCCATCACCAGCTGTCCTTCCACCGCAGCTGACACTGTTCCTCTGCTTTCAAAGAGCCCAAAGGAATGGCGATTTGSTTTGCCATCACAAGGGCCTGAAGAACTCCTGCTGACACCAGGAACTCTACCAGAGCAAACCGTAGTGAAGTCCACCATGAACTTTGGCACCGATTCAGACACGTTGTTCTTATCTGCAATATCTTGCATGATTAAATCCATTGCTCTACCCTTGCCTTTAGGACTCAACTCGTAAGCATTCACAGGATTGTTTATAATGATGTGTCCCATGGATAAAGGTCTTGGGCGCCGTCGGTGCATTTTAGGGCTCATGCTCGGCTCTGGGCTTGGCAATTTGGCATAAGAGCCTGTGAGGCTCCTGACAGTGCTGCTGCCACGGTCAAACACAGAATTCTTCTTCAATTCCTCATCGGAATCTGAATCCACCAAAGGAGGTGTTCCAACTCGCATAGGTATGTCTACTTTAGAAAAACTGGATAAAGTGGACACACTTGTGTTATTTGTAGTAGAGGCACCTTGGAGAAGGCTATTTGACTTATTAAGACTAGGTTTATCAAGCGTCTGAGCAGCACAACTTCTGCTTGTAAACTTTACTCTCTCTTTCCCRGAGTCAGTTGTTTTAACACCGTCATTTTCTTTATCCGAATGACTTTCACTCGTACTCCTCTTTGAACTACTTTTTGAGGTACGCTTGCTTTGCTCTCTCTCTATGTACTCCCTAGACTTCTTGATCAGGTTCTGAAGACTCATGACACATGGATCCTGGACATCCTCATCCGATGGTGACCCCACTCGCCCCTCCTGCTTTTGCAGAGCATGAGACGTCAGCCTGTTACAAACCTTGTCAGGAGACGCAGCCCYCGGACAATGCGCGTCTTTCGAGAAGCAGCTCTCACTTGGCTTTGAGGAAACATTTTCTTCTGCTGCTTTAACTACTTCTGTCACATTTGATGTCATTTGCCCTGYAGTACCTGATGGTCTAAGTTCTGGTGTCTTTTCCAAGTCCATGGAACCATGCTTTTCAGGAGAACATGCTGAATTCATATCTGATAGAGCTGTGAAGTCAGTCAAAGCCTCTGAATCCGAATCAGGGCAAGAATTCTCAGCCTCCAGTGTCTTCACACCACTCATGCTAGGTCCCTTCTTCATCTGCAAATTAAATTTTTTKTAAATTCCCTATTTTCAGTGAAACCTCAGAAACTCAAGACTCCTGCAAACTTCACTTGAACTTAAAAGAAAATCTAGAAAACCAGTTTTATTCAAGTGAGAATTGCTTGTTACTTCCAGCCAGCAATTGTTTAAAAGGATATTCACACTACAATTAGCCTGTGTGCTATATCTCAGCTATCAAGAGGACACATCTGGGGGAAAAAACAACCTTATTTTTGTATTGAACATACTTTCCTGGTCTGCTGGTCAAACCTCAAGYSAGCTGACTGTTGCCACATACACTCGGTAAACAACACAAACTGTTTAACACCTTGGTAACCCAACAAACTCAGTGTCAAATGTATCTGTTCAAGCAACAATTTAATTTAAAGGCTGTATTACAACTGTTACAAAGACATATAATAGCTCCTTGATTAGATGTATTTAGCAGTCTTAAATTTAAACTTCTACTAAATTCATCATTAAAGCCACAAATCAAAAGTTGTAGCAAAATTTTAAAACACACAACAGAATTTCAAGCTGTTGTGAAGGTAATTTTAATCTGCAATCATAAGGCTGAAGGTAGATTATTTTATGATTAAACTRTAAGCTTGCAAACAAAGCAAGCTCTAACACAGCGAAGTTGTTTTAACAATCGAGTTGTTTCCAACACACTTACAAAAGCAACAACGTGCTCTGTCCTTCACACACAGCAAAACAAGCACTKAAAAGCAAATCCCATGCACTACAGTAAGTATCAGCAAATAATCCATTATCAGGACACTCAGCATGAAATACCAGCAAACGCTGTTTCTGCAGGGTTAACTGCTCCTAATTTCAYGTTTATATTGGGGAATACACCCCAGCATTTTCTCACAATGTCTATAAGCAGAGGTTTTCTGGAAAACTGCTATGAGAAGTTTTAGATYAACACTACCTGGACATTTTCCACAATCTCCTGGACACGATCCAGTAGAGCTTTTTTCCGGGACTCCCGTTTCCTTGTCTCTAGGTCCAGTGCTTTCTTCTTATATTGCTGTATTTCCTTTTTTTTTYCAAGGGTAAGCTGCCAAACAAAGTGAAAGAAACATGGTTGATATCACTAAATTTCAATAYAGAATCACAGAAACAAATTAGAAAAACAACAGAACCAAACAATTAGAAGAACAGCAATCACCTGAGACTTTGTGCCCATGCTAAATGCCAGCTTCTTTTCAACCAATTATACCTTTTTTTTTTAGAGGAAGATGGACAAAATGCCTTCTTGGTACACAAGCAAATTAACATGAATTTAAAATATCATTTATAAAAATCTTTCATGAACATTACATGCTACGGTACCAATCTGACACAGGATTCAGACATTTTTTCTAAAAACYTTTACAATATCCATGCATTTCTAAATGAAGAATATGAAACATATCTGCAATTTATATCTTTATCATGATTTTTGGACATTGTTAGAGACTCTCCCTTTTCTTCCCATCACTGAAACAAGGAAGTCAGCTGCAGTACTGCAGGAACTACCAACAATCTTCAGCTTGGCTCTGCTTGCATTAGCACAGAATGGCTTAACACAATTGATGAGCCTGTGGAATGCATTAGAGGAAGATGCAAGCACATGCAAAAAATTGTACTTAGAAGTTTTTAAACTATTTCAGTATTTCATATTTTCATGTTTTTTACACCATTAAACTAACTCACATGTCAAATATTTGAAATGYCAATATAATTTTACATGAAGTTAAGCTCCGCARTAACATTACTAAAAACCACARCATTTGTGCTCCCCTTAGGAAGACAACAACTTCTAAAAAGTTAAAGGAAATGTARTCAGTGTAGGGGGGGRAAAGTACATTTTACCCCTTACTTTGTAAGATTAAGGCTGGGAATRCTTAGGAYRCATAMAGCAGCAGGTCAGATGCCAGCTCACACAGACACATTCAGTAGAATCACKACATGTGCAYATCACAGCCAGTGCCAATAGCACAGTTAACACRCCAGGGAGGAAAAAGGGATAAAAAAGGCCTTACCAGAGGGGAAAGCACAGGGACTCCATAGAACTGAATGARGGAGATAYTTTTGTGCTGAACAGTCAAAGASGTTTCTCCTTTTATTGMCTCTTCTTGGATTCTGGAAAGATGCTTCCTACAGAAAATTTCATAGTCCTCCATCTTCATGTTACCCAAGCTGCAAAGAATAATAACATTACTCTCTCATGTATTTCCAAGACCTTGAAAGGGAAAACAACATCACAACTAATKCTATGTTCACTATGTTTTGGGAAACAAATTCTGCATTAGAAAACTGAATTAAGTTTCTCTACTTCCTATCATTAACAAAGCCTGCAAAGCTCTTCCTTATTTACCCCCGTAAAAGGAAAATCTGCATATATGAACAAAACTGATGATCACAAGTACACAGAGAAGAAAGCAAGCATAGAGGTTATTAGGATTTACCAAAGTACACCTACTATAAATCGTAATTTCCATCAAAGACTAAACCTTTGAGATAYTGCACAACAATGAGACAGATCCTATCAACTGAAAAAAATTAACAAGCAAAATAGCAGCCCAATTAGAATAGGAGTGGGGGAAAAAACAGAAAGGGGGGAAAACGGAAAAAAAGCCTTTACATGTTTAGGGGGCTGAGAGGAATTTGTGTCTCACTCCCGTGAGCYTCCGTCTCGACACATCCCTATATGCCCCTACTTACACCAAAAAAAAAAAAGACATAAATGACAGCCTTTTTTTATTAAAAGCGCTCAAGTATCTGGCACTGCCCGTCCTCACGAGAGCGAGCCCAGCACCGCCCGGCAAGGCCTGACAACGCTTYGTTCCCTCGCACGCCGCTTCGGCCGATTCCTGCCCGCCCGCCCGCTCCGGGGCACCGAGCCCGCCCCAGGCCGGGACCGATGGACCGCCTCCCCCCGGGCCCCGGCACGGCCCCGCTCCCCGTCCAACGCTCGCTACCTGCGCGGAGCGGAGCGCGGAGCAGAGCGCGGCGCTGCCCCAGCGCTCCCCAGCAACCGCCGCACAACGGCCGGGCCACGGCACTACGAGCCCCAGCGCTCCCCGGAACAGCCGCACAACGGCCGGGCCACGGCACTACGAGCCCCAGCGCTCCCCGGCAACCGCCGCACAACGGCCGGGCCACGGCACTACGAGCCCCAGCGCTCCCCGGAACAGCCGCACAACGGCCGGGCCACGGCACTACGAGCCCCAGCGCTCCCCGGAACAGCCGCACAACGGCCGGGCCACGGCACTACGAGCCCCAGCGCTCCCCGGAACAGCCGCACAACGGCCGGGCCACGGCACTACGAGCCCCAGCGCTCCCCGGAACAGCCGCACAACGGCCGGGCCACGGCACTACGAGCCCCGGCACGCACCGCACCCCGCTCCGCTCCGCCCCGCTCCGCCCCGCACAGACCGACGCTCGAGGGGTGCGCTGTCGCCAGCGCTGCACGGAACCGCTGTACCGTGTCTAGGCGAGCGCCCAGCGAAGGCAGCCCCAGCTCAGAGAGATGAGAGCGCCGTCCCCCTGCTCTGATTTCCAGCCAAGTCCACCCGTAGCTCTCCTAGACGCGTTCCCCTCTTAGCACCAGTGTGGTCTGTTCTGCTTCATCCCATTAAATTAAATATCACACGGCTCTGCAGTCCTGGTGTAGTCAGGACCAGAAATGTGCCGCCGCAGGTATCACATTCGCTGTGATGAGAGAGATAAACATGAGCAGCCGTTCACATGCTCCGTGAGGACAGCACCATGCCGACAGACAGACACCCTATCCCTCCCGCCCGGGCGGCAGCCGGTCCAGCCAGGCCCGGGCAGGTAACACTCACCTGGCGGGCAGGTCAGCTGGAAGGAAAATCAACACTTGTTTGCCAGCCAGTTGGCCCAGGCATAATTAAGTTTATGGAAACATCTAATTCCCAGTATTTAGAGCTGTTAAAGCTGTCATTCTTGTTTCAAAAAATAATTTCGTCATCTGTACCTCTTCAATGATACTTGAGTGTAATTTTTTTTAACTCTCCATCTTTAATCTTAACAAATGCTGTTGTTTATCAAAAGCTTAATAAAATGTTAGGCATCTAATCAGACATTCCATTATTCGTTGTGTGTGTGCATGTATCTCTCTGATTTTTCTTCAGCTGCACCKGGCAGAAGCACAAAACCATTGACAGAGATGCTCAGAAACAGCTGACACAGTGTGTGACAAATATTCATCTCAGCAATTTAAATAAATAAATAAGCCCAGTTTAGAAGATCACCCGGTGCCTATTCTACCCCTAGTCTGTCAAAGTTCCTCACTGAAAAGCCAGTTGCTTCCCATCCTTCTCACAGATATACACACCAGGGAAAAATAAAAAAAGAAGAGGGTCAAAACCCCCACTTACGTTATCACAAACCGCTATTTCCTCAGCTTTGCTATTCCACCGGTAGACGAAAGAAGGCCAGTTTCTCCAGGCTTCACTGAAGGGGTTGTTTTCCAGCCTCCTCGCCCACGGGTCTGCGCTCCCGGCGGTTGTCCCGGGTGCCGGAGCCGCCTGTCCCCGGTCCTGTCCCTGTCCTGCCCTGTCCCTGTCCTGTCCTGCCCTGTCCTCTCCTGTCCTGTCCCCTGCCCTGTCCTCTCCTGTCCCTGTCCTGCCCTGCCCTGTGCTGTCCTGCCCTGTCCCCTGTCCTGCCCTGTCCCCTGTCCTGTCCCCTGTCCCCTGTCCTGTCCCTGTCCTCTCCTGTCCCTGTCCTGTCCCTGTCCTGCCCAGCAGCAGCCTCGGCCCGGCGGGAGCCACCGCCTGCTTCTCCCGCGGCTCCGGTCCCGGCCCGGGCCTGCACGACTGCACACTCAGATACGGAAAATATACAATAGATTACGTTGGATATAACAGACTCAGCAATTAGCTGGAAAAATAATCACTACGGAGGCTACGYTTCATAATTAGTTAGCTGGCATAGCTGCGGAAAGCCCTCAACGCTCTCCATGCACACAGATGTTGTGCCGCGCTACCTTTGCTTACATGCACACCATTTATTTTTATCCGCACCCCATTTTACCAGGAACGGCCGCTTTCCCGCCGCGGCCTCCCGCCGGCACCCTGAGGAGCTCTGAGCGC